TCCATTAATAATAATAATAATAATAACAGCTTTATTCCAAACAGTATTTGTGGTACAGGTATGGAATTTTCAGCGTGCATTACAGTATATTGCATCTAATTACCTCATAAATTATATAAGATTTTTAAAAATCAAAAATAAATAAAAATAAAATAAATAAGTTATAAATAATAAAATAAATATTAAAAATTAAGAAGAAAAAAAAACAGCGTAGAGTATTTCATTTCAAACAATGCACCACAGAATTTGAAATATAAAGTTGATGTGTGGTTGTAGATGAAACAACAGTGTAGTAGTAACGAGGAAAGGAAAACAAAAACTAATGGGACTATTTGTTAGAGTGCCGCAGTAAGTTTATCGTGTCATACCTAACGGATTTCTCATCACATAACAGCTGTGTCCTAGCTCGCTTGAATTTATTTGAATTCTCTATGAACGATTTAACTGGCACATTGATTACTTATCTTATGCATTTTTATATTACTCAACGTGTATGCAAATGAAGAAAACCCTATGAAATAAAATGAATTAGTCGTATGTCACAAAAGATGTTCAATTCAATTTTATCTAGGAGACTAATTGTATAAGATAATTTTATACAATTTTCTCATGAATTAAAATATTTACCAGTCAATTTACTATTATGATTTACTATTTCTATGTGTAAGGATTAACTTGTACAAGTGTGAGGTTTCGTAAATAATATTTTAAATAATTATAATAAAATTAAATTTGAATTTAGTTTAGTCATTTAATTTTATAAATCTATCTATCTGTCAGACTCGATAAATTGACTTTCAGAGAATCTACAACTTCTCAGTAGGACATATCTAGAAATTAGATTGTATGGTCTTTCTGTCAATAATGTGTTATATAGTAGGTAGGTATCTAATTAGTCTATTGTTTCTGTCTATTTTTAAACAAGAAAATTGATTAATAGCGAAAATAAGTAGTATACTAGTATACTTTTCTGCTCAGATGATCATTTTAGTAAAACAAATTGCATATATTGTCTTCTTTGAAATATTATTATACCCATTTCCTCTGTTTATGTAATTTTGCTAGAAATAGTAAGCTATTTATGCGGAAACGGGGTGAGAGGGGGTAAATATACATTGACAGCAGAACAATGTAGCCATAGGGTCTCTGTTTGGCTGATTACTTCTTGCTGACGTTTTCTTTATAATACCTGATATCCAGTACCCCCGATAATATGGACGATTTTTTTCATTATTATCAATGAATAACACTCATCGATCAGTTAGTTTTACCTAGAAGTTAGATAAGAAGAAAGGCTCCTCTTCTTAGATGTTCAGGTTTCGAGGAGAACTGATATATCAATACAACGATCAATTCAACACAAACCAAAGTGGAACAAGTTAGATAACCGACTTCTACAGCTTTGTTACAATAAGTAGAAAAAGAAATGCCATGAAATGTCTTCTCGCAAGAACCTATCGCATATGCAAGGAAGACACATTAAACAGAGAACTGGAATCTTTCAGAATTAAAGAATCGGAATGTTTATCCCCCAGCATTCATCACTGAACACAGAATAATCTGCCAAAGATAAAAGTAACATAAAGTTAGTTATAAAATGGAAATTGAAAAGTGACATGACAGCGTGGATTGTGTTTAAAGCAGGTTATCTAAAGCAGTTTAAATAATATTTCTCTTTTGCATCTTTGCGTCTCACCTTCTCCATCCAGCCTCTTATTCATCAAAATGCCAAAGACAATATTCCACCATTGGCAACGTCTGTGTGTATATATATCACTTCATCTGTTCCTGTGGAATTAAGTAATTGGGCTGTACCAGCAGGATGTTCTCTAGGTTTACATAAAAGGAGAAATAGGACGGCCGAATAGCTTGGCTCTTGACCACTTTGTTCTTATATATCATTGTGCATCAATAGAGAAATCTCTTATATTTATAATATAAAGTAGTGCCAAGAGTTCTGAAGGGCTTCCGGCTGAATTTTCTGTCCTTAGAAGAAGCTCTTGTTATACACAAAGAAAACCCTAAGTTGTATAAGACTACTTAATCAAGTTTTAGTCATTTTTTCGCTTTTTTCCTCGTATGTAATTTTGTATGTTTTATGGAAACTAGATGATATCAACAACTGACCTTTGTAGACATTTTCATGAACTTTTAAAACACTATGTAATTACTGTACAGCTTTGAAATGAATTTACGAATTCTTAGCAATTTGGTCATGAACTAATATCAGTTAGAGAGATCACTGAGGACTCTTCAGTAGTGCATACCTAGACATTACCAGGAATCGAACCCTAGCACTTTCAGGTTATAAGACTAAGCTGGTTGACCATTCAGCTATTTGGGCTGATGAAATTCAATAGCTCATGAATTCCAACTTTGGTTACAGGATTTCATTATGAGCTGACATTGGTTAGAGAACCATTGGAAAACCACCTAGGAGTACTGGATAGCTGTTTCGTCAGCCTAGTTTGGGACTCTTCATCAGTACGCACCCACCAACAGGGTTCGAACCCAGGACCTTCTGGTTACAAGGCTAGCGAGCTCGTAGACCAATAAATTAGAATTCATGCACTGGCCATCGGATCAGGTCCCAGTGGTTTAATGGTCTACAAGCTAGCTCACCTTGTAACCAGAAGGTCCTGGGTTCTAACGCCTGTTGGTGGGTGCGTACTGATGAAGAGTCCCAAACTAGGCTGACGAAACAGCTTTCCAGTACTCCTAGGTGGTTTTCCAATGGTTCTCTAACCAATGTCAGCTCATGAGGAAATCCTGTAACCAGTCAACCAAATCCCTAAAAACCAATACTTGAATTCCAACTTTGTTAACTCGTGGTACATACCGCTGCCCTCCGGCAGTGCATTCGGTCAGCATCGTCTTCACCTTGACATGATTTGTCCGTATTTTTTTAATGATTAAAGAATGTAAAACTTAAAAAAGTTATGAAATTTCAAAAAAATAAGCATGACATTAAGAAACTAAAAAACAAGAAAGATGATGCCAAATAAATAATCTTAAATCATAAAGAAAATTTCCAACTGTCACACATATCCTTTTTGCGTAAGGCGGATTAATTCAATTTTGTATAGATCATATAAGAAAGAGATCAAAGGAACCTATCAATTTTCAAATGTATCATAAAAAAAGTTAGTTCGATAATTGTAATTCTTTTTTTCTTCTATAGTTTATTACTCAAGCGTTTAATTTAAGCATCATTATAACAATATTATAGAGAAAGCAGAAAGTATTAATAAACTTTGCTAAATCTTTTCTAATAAATAAAAATAGTGTAATAGTCATTTCTAACAACAAAAGTATAAATAACTAATAGAGCCACACTTGTCTCATCAAATCAATAAAAAAGTATAAAAATCACAAGAAAACAAGTTGTAAAATATGATCCTAAGAGTACTATAAGGATACGCAGAGAACTTTACACGAATGTTCAACAGTTCAAGTTGCCATACTTTATAAATTAACACATACACACACATAAAAGTAGAGGGAAAAAGAAATGCGCCATCAAACTATAATTTAGAAAAACAAAACGCAGAAATGTACGGAAAAGGAATAATGAATTTTTAATGAATCTAGTTAGATTCGTGCGTCAGTGGTTCACCAGTAGAGCTCTGGCCAAACATGAACGTGGTCTGGGGTTTTAGTGCTGCCCGGTGCATACCTTCGCCTCCCCTTAGTCAATTACAGTCCTGAGAAAGAGGGACTAGCAACTCCTAACCCGTAAAAACACCATTGCTACTGAAACTTCAAAGCTAAATCTTGAAGCCCTATGTTCCGGTGCGAAGTCAACGAATAATTAAAAAAAAAAGATAGATTCACTGAAAACAATATAAGCCATTTCATTACCATCATAGTGTCAAACAAATTTCACTAAGTATGATATAAATTTACGCGGATTAATCACTACTCCAATGACTTTTCTAGTCTAGTAGAACATGTAGGAACTTTCGTTCTTACCAACAAAAAAAACCAACTAGAGATAACGAACATATATAAATATTCGTGAAATAAATTTCATATAGATAATGAAGTTTACGGTATTCTTTGAAAACTTAGCCTAAAAACCAAAACATTCAGCTACATATCCTAAGCCATTAGCATTTACTAACGTAACAAAACGTTCTAGGGCCCCACTTAAGGCATTCATATATATATATATATATATATATATATATATATGGCCATCATTCTAGATGGCTTGGCACCATATTTCACCCTGAATTGTTGTAATTAGATGGTTGGAGGGAATCAACAGGATGCCTTGAACAGATGTCTCGCGCTTGTCGGTATTTATCAGCAAGGTGTATCTGAAATCTTGAAGGAACTCGTGTCCCCCCCTCCAGGGATCTGAAACCGAATCACTCAGATCTGCATTCAGAGAGGTTATCAACCATCGAATAACAACAGACCACAGTATATTGTGATGGTAAGACACCTAAATGGTGGTCACATTGCAAACTTAACTGATAAAATCAGTCTCTACCAACCAAGGAAGTAGAAGCATGACACTAGTCATTAATGCTTAGTGTTCAATCAAAGTATGCAATACAGTCCTACAGGAAGTCAGCCACCGGCCCGAATAGCTCAATGGTAACGTCTCTGACTGCAGAACTCATTGCGTGGCGTGGATTAGAATCTCATAAGGGATATGAGTTCCTTCAAGATTCTAAATACACCTTACTGATGAGCACCAACAAGCACGAGAAATAGGTGCAAGGTTTCTTGGCTGATTGCCTCCAACCATCTAATAACAACAATTCACTGTGAACCATGACAGCGAGCTACCTAGAATGGTGGCCACACTGCAAACTTGACTCTGGTTAAATTCAATCCACATCAAACGGAGGAGGATTGGATGCATGACACTAGTTACTGTCGAATGTGCAATTAAAGCATTCTTTTATATATTTATCTCTTAGGGTATATATTGTAACCCATTGTATTATCATATTTTTTTAAATATAAAAAATAATAAATCAACTTACCATATAGTACATAAATATTCTTCTTTTTCACTATTCGATAAATAAATAAATATTTCTTCAAGATAACCACCAGGTTGAATATCGTTTAATAATGATGATGAATCTTGTGCATACATTGAATCAATATTATCACTTAAATTATTCTCAATATTATTAGTATTAAGAGTAGTGTTAATCGAATTCTGTATGATTGGATATAATTGTGAATTATTTATACTAGGTATATTTAAATCACTTAATGGATGCCAGGTCACTAGTGTTGTTGAAGGCAGCGTCAGTGATGTTCGTATACGTTCATTTCTTTCATTAAATGTATCACTACTAGTAAGTACATTTAAATCATACATAATATTCGATGCATAATCATCTGGAATTGTTATATTATTATCAAAAGTTCTACTAGTTTCTATTATTGTTGTATTCGTGGTATGTTCTTGTTGTAAACTTCTTGGAGAATTCGCATTATCATTATGTGTTGTTGACGTCGACGACGATGATGATGATGATGATGAGGTTGATGGTAAATGAGATAATAGATTATCTAAAAATGAATATATTCCAATTGCCATCATTGTTTGATGTTCATAAAGACGTTGTAGTTCATCCATGACTAATTATTACTATAATTAATAATACTATTACCACTAGTAATGATAATATTAATAATAATAGTATCACTAATATTACAAACTACTTAAACACTTATACATATATATTTGTGTAGACATCAATCTCTAATGTATTCACATCTTTTCCATAATTATATCACCGAACAACAATATTATCACACTATTATTATTAATTAATTAATTGAATATGGAAGTATTACTTCGACTTTTGGCGGAAAAATTTAATAGTTCCATTATTAGAAAATATCATTGCATTAAAATAATCCTTTTTTATGCAAAGAAGTGCGTAGTACCAACAGTATCAACATAAGTAATATGAATAAATTAAGATTTAATTATCTTTAGTACAAGACAAGCTTTATTTCACAATCAGTAAAAATTATAACTGACTAACTAATCGCCTTAATAGCCTATATTTTTATTAATAGCCTAGTAGATTATTATTACTATTAGTATACAGTTGACCAATAGTATTTGAATATAATAGAATAAATCATTTATTTCAATCGATTGATTACATAATTGTTAGACTGAACTGAATAGACCTAAAATCATAACTTGCATAAATTTGAATACTATCAGTACTACTTACAAATATGTATTTTCTTGAAGATGCATCATATAGATGAAGAGGGAGTGAGAGAGAGAGAGAAGGAGAGAAGAGAGAGTTAGTCGTATAAATTGTTTATGTGACACCTATTGATATTATTTTTATAACAATTATACAACTTGTAATCAGTTGTATAGAATTGGTGGATTAGCGTAACTATGGTGATATTCAGGTCAGAAAAATGTATGGCATATAAAAATTCACTTTCTTATTGGTTATTTCAAGAAAAGATGAGAATATGATTTTTTTAACTCCTATAGACACACAGACGCACGTATGCGTGCGCGCGTGCGTACGTGTGTGCGTTAAATCACTAGCCTAGTGAGGTACTAGAAAATACTTTTTGGTTTAATTTACTTTTTGAGGCAGTGTAAAACTGAAGAGGTTAATTTGACTAACGAATATATATATATATATATATATATATATATATATATATACTGAGCTCAAGCTGTAGTCCAAAAAGACATGAAAGTTCAGAAATTAAACCAAGGAGGTCAGAGACTGAAACTAGTTCTCAGATTAAATGATGACGACTTCATAGATGAACACCTTCGAGGAAGAACTGAATCTTTATATAGAAATATGTTAGTAGGCCTAGTAAAGTTAACTTTAAAACCCCCCCTTATATTTGAATTAACTATTTTTTTTTTTTAACACTAATCCAATTGAACAACAGGCACGTCTGGCCAGAAGAGTAGAAAGCCTCACTGTAGTTGTCTGATGCGTCTCAGAAACTCTCATTCAAGTGAACTGCTTCTAAAATCTCCATGTGAAAATTCAAATGCCATGTGCTTTCTGCGCTTATCTGGGGGACTTGTGGCGTCGGTATCCAACGTAGCTGTTGGCATTGTCGCACTAAGAGCCAGAGCCAAAGCTGAATTAGTCGACTATACCCCCATTAACATCCGTTTATATGCTGTAGGGCAAAGTGGTTGCGCAACAGGACGAACTGATCAGCCAGAGAGGCGGTGCTTGCTTGCCATCACTGCCAATGCACTAATGGACCGCAGCCCGGATACAATTAGGGATGAGTTTAACCATCAACTGAGCGAGCTTGTAAAACAGGCGCGTCAGGGAAAAATAGTAGGGCTATCTGAGTACTTGAATGTGCAGATCGGGCATCTTGGTTCAGGAAAGGGTTGTCTAGCTGGTTAGTGAGGCCTAAAAGGTTGCAGGTCAGATTACAGGGACTACCTTCTGCTGATCACTACCTGTACCTAGCCAGTATCAAGCTCCAGAACAGCCATAGCTAAACCTGGCGTCCTCCCCCTGCCAATCAAGACCGGATTCAGACTGATCACCTTGCTGTCAGTTTCCGATGGTTTGGATGCATATAGAAATGCTACTCCTTCTGCACCACATGCCTGAATTTCAAACATGTCTAAGTATATGTCAGCTTCAGCTTACGATTCGGTGGTGTTCATAGACGGCTTCACCTGCAGGTTGATGTAAATAAACCAGTAACACCTGCTACCTCTGCGGAGTACCAGACTGAGTTAAACTCAAGGATAACTAGCGACTCTCCAAATAGTATAGATGAATGGGGGTTACACCTGCAAGACGTTATGGAACTGCTTGTGGCTGAAAAGAATGCTCCCTTGGAAACTACTGGTTTTCTGCACGTTCCTTGCAAATTCTGGATGCGCTCCGGGCCGTTCCGGCAGACAGCAAGTATAACAGCATGTGTAAGACTCTTACGCGGAAGACCAAACAGTTTATAATTAAGGACTGGGGAACACGCTGGTCAGAATGTGCCTGTAAGATGAAATCAGCGGCTACATCCAGCTATAGCCTGAAGCTGTTACATCCCACCCGGGCCATATGTGGCAAGAAGCATGGTTTTAACGAGATGGTCTATGAGGTAGATGGTACGCCAATTACCAACCTAAAAGGACGACAGGAACGCTGGGCAGCGCAGTTCGAAGGGCAGTTTAGGTGGCCAATAGCACCAGCGTCCAACATATTCGGTCATTACCAGTCCATCAAACGAAGTGTAGGTCTGGAAGGAACTCCAAGTGTTGAAACGCTTTAACGCATTCAGTACGAAAAAACTAGATATTGCTCATTTTCAAGATGGTAGCTAGATTCTCTTCAAGGTAATGATTGGACTGTTCACGAAACTATGGGAAGGCGAGAATGTTCCCTCGATGTGGAATAAAGCAGTCAATGTGTCCGTCTTTATAAAGAGCGTAGAACAACCATAAGAGTATTGATTTGCTAACTGTCACATCCAAACTATTGTCTTCTGTCTTGCTCCGCAGACTGTGCGAAGCCCCAGAGGGACTGATTCACAAGGAGCAGGACGGATTTTGTTCAGCCTGTGGATACACTGGTTACGTGTTAACCCTTCTCCAATTGCTATAAAAACGTCACACGTATTGCAGGTTAACAATCGTTGTGTTTCTTGACATTGGGGCTGCCTACGATTTTTTGGAAAGAACTGCTCTCTGAAATTGTCTGTCAGAAAGAGGTGTTCGTAAAAACTTCTTTAACATCTTGAAAACCCTACAAAGAAGTAATTCAGGTAGAGTAAGGACACACTGCTGATCTCAATGAACAGTGGGGTTAGACAGAGTTACCTAACCTGTGCATTTCCCCTTCACTCTGCTATCAATGACATGATGGAGTCAGCTTTGAAGAACGTGTGCGATGGTAGTGTAGATCAGCTTTCTGTAGAAAGACTTTTCGAACTCTAGTATGCAGACGATATCACCTTACCGTGAGATAGTATACAGGCTGTCAAAACCGCACCTAATAAATTGGCAACCGGTATCCATAAGTATGGTATGTGTTACCAGCAGTCTAAGTGTAGGGCTTTTATAGGAGATAGTTAAAAACCTGTGCCCGCATTTACCTTTTTAGATAAACCGGTTGAAGTTGTCGACAAGTCCGTGTATCTAGGTGATTGTATGAGCGCTAGCGGAAGCGTGACGGAAGAAAGGTAGGGTATCTGACGCCAGTTTGGGCTACCTGTAACGCCTTCATGACTTCAGCCTAGCTATTTAAGTTTTGGTTTACAGTGGTTCAGTGCATGCTACCTTAGTCTAGGCCTGAGAAACCTAGCATCTCCCAGCTAGGGATGCACGGCGACTCTGCGTATTCAATCATCGCTGTCCCCATAGAACTGCTTGCGTTTGATGGTATTATCGTGTGAGTAACTCTGAGGATAGGCAGCATGTGGTTAGGCACGTTAGAGACCACCAATCATTGAGTATGTCATCCAGAAACACCGGCTTTAGGGGCTTGAATATGTGGTACGAATGTCATCCCACAGGCTTCCGTGCCGGTTCCTGTTCGGCTATTTCTGGGACTGGATGCAAGAAGCGTAGGGGTGGTCACCCTACGAAGTGGCGTCGTCGCGTGAAGGATATTTGTGTTAGGTTAGCATTACTTGGCGCTTCACAACCCCCCTGGCTGAGGCACAAGAGATTGTTCAAATTGATGGCTCAGAACGTTAGCAGATATTGCCAAGAATTGCAATCAGTAGCGAACATGCTACAATCCCCTTCTTTTTGTTCCTTTTCTGAAAGCAACATCAAGTGATGAATGTTGAATGATCTTGACAGGTATGCTTTCTTGTTTGCTGACTGACGTCCCTCATTCCCTCTCTCCCTAGATGCTTCATGTATTATTCTTTTGTTATTTTTGTGTTGTGCATCTCCTGATGCCCACATTGTACCAAGTTTGTCTTAAAAAAAATAAGAGCGAACAACTAGACGGCTCAACAAACGTATTAATAAGCATTTTCCTTCATAGTTCAGAAAAGGCCAAATAAAATCTACAAGAAGTTCTATTATGACTTATTTGATTGATGACAGCGTTCACCAAGTGGACAGAAGAAGTGCCTTCAAAGTTATCAATCGCATTCGATTGGATCTTCCGAAAGAATTTTTTTCTACATTTTTCTCTCTCTTGGCCTAGGTAAAATCTGATTAAAAACCTCCCAGCCTTTCTTATTTTCCATTTCCTTCGTGATTTAGTGATATTTATTTAAACTCTGATTATCTGCCCACTTCACGTTTAGAATTATGTAACTTTTAAGACTTAACCGAATTTATTTAGTGAATTGTCTACGTATACACGTTTTACTACCTTCGTTATTCTTATCGCCACGCGCAAAAACCTTCTTATCATTCATTATTTAGTTATCATTATAATTATCATCATTATTACCATTTGATCTCAAGATGTCATAATAAACTGACATCAGTTAGAGGACCATCGGAAAACCTGGGAGTACTTGAAAGCTGTTTCATCCTAGCTTGGGACTCTTCATCGGCAGGCACCCACTGCAGTTCGAACCCAGGACCTTCAGGTTAAAGCCGAGCTCGTAGACTATCCAGCCACTGGGACCCGATCCAATGGT